CTGCTCTGCTCACCCCCCCAGCCCCAGGCACTGCTCTGCTCACCCCCCCAGCCCCAGGCACTCACGTTCCTGCTGTCGTACAGCACCACGGCGCTGAGGTTGCTCTGCGAGGTGATGTAGTAGGTGACAGTGCTCCTGGACTTGTCCACCAAGGCTGTCTGGTTCCTCAGAGGGTCCTGCTGGCCCTGCAGTGTCAGTCGGACGAGCTGGGAGCCAGCCTGGGCACAAGGAGTGGGAAGGCAGCACTCACCAGCAGCTGCTCGTGCGCAGCATCTCCCACCAACATCCCCCCCGGGCCCTGTGCTGTCCCTGCTGCTTGCCTGGAGGATTTGGGAACGGAGAGAAGGAAGCTCTGACCCACAGGAAGGATGATCTGTGACAGCCTGCTCTCCACCACGCAGGGCTGGGGAGAGGCACCAGTGCCCCTCATGCCAAAGGCACCAGTTGCTGGAGGAAAGGGCCAGGGGACTCCCAGCCACTGCCACAGCCCTGCCTGCAGCCTGCGGGCACCTCCCTGCCTCCTCCAGGGTGGGATCCAGCCAAACCCAGCCCTGATCTCACCCCGCTCATCCCTCCTGGGATCTGCTTCCCACACAACCCGGGGCTGTGGGCAGGAGGGGCTTCCTGCTTGGATCGGGATCCCTTACCTGGGCAGAGCTGGGGGACAAGCTGAGAACCCCCACGACACTGATGCCAACTGCAAAAAATATCAAGGCAATGGACAGGGTGATCCAGAAGGTCCTGGGGGGAGCTGGGAATCGTGCTGTGGCCCTCCTGTCCTGGGAACCGGGCAAAGGAAGGAGGAACAGGAGTTAAAATTGACCCTTCTGCCAATTCTTTATCATCAAACACACTTCCTGCTCGTGGCACAAATCCTTGTGCAAACTGGTTGCAGTGCAGAGCAGTCAAACCATCACAGCACCTGGAATAATGGAGCTTTCATCCCACAGTGCTGGAATTCCAGATCCCACATCCCAGTAACCAGCACTGCCACAGCCAGAGGAGCTGCAACACCCCCAGGGCAGGGCTGGAGCAGCAGCTTTCCACACACAGGGAACCACAAATTAAATTATTTTGGTTTACAGCAGAAGTCCCAGAGGAGCCATCAGCATTGGAATCAGATTCCATGTGGAATGATCCTGCTTCCATGCCCCTCCCTGTGTTTGGTCGTGTTGGATTTTCTTGCTAAGTTGTTCTCCAGGAGACCAAGCAAAAGAGCTCAGTGGTCCTGTGACACTTCCACTGGCTCCATTCATTTACTTTAATTCTTATGTTAGAGCAATTAAATTTTACTTCATGGTACATAACAGGATTTTTACAAAGCAGAAAATGTGCTTTCAATAATCTCGAACACAAGCCACACTTAAAAAAAATTAACATGTTTCTCAGTTCTCTGAAGGACAGAGAAATTCAATCCATGCCCAGGGTTAGATGTGCTCCAACTGCACAAGCTCATCCAGCTTCGGGGCAGTTACAGATCTTGATTGAAAACAGGGAACTTCCAGACTATTCCCCCAGAAAAGCAGCGAGTTAAAACTGCACATATCTGAAATCCTATTGATTCCAACAGAGCAGAGCCCCAGCCCTGCAGTAACTGGCAGGTTTTCAATAGCTAATGGAATTCCCTCAGGTGGGAAAGGTGCAAATAGAGCAATCCAGCAGCTCCCAGCCCTCATCCCCAGTGTCAGACCAGGCTTCCTTGGCACATCTGACCTGTTACCCAACAGGTTTAACCCCTGTAAGTCCAGGCACTTCCAACCTATCCAGCTGACAGCCTTACAGGAGCTGAACTGGGGGTGCTGGGGAATGAACAAAACCTTACCAGGATCCAGAGGAATGGTGGGATCTCAGGCACTTCAGAGGAGAATCAGGCAAGCACAGAGCAGGGGCTCTGTCTGTGATAGAATCATGGAATCCTGGAATGATTTGGGTTGGAAGGAACCTTAAAGCCCATCAGTTCCACCCCATTGCCATGGGCAGGGACACCTTCCACTAGCCCAGGTTGCTCCAAGCCCCATCCAACCTGGCCTTGGACACTTGCAGGGATGGGGCAGCCACAGCTTCTCTGGGCAACCTGTGCCAGGGCCTCACCACCCTCACAGGGAAGAGTTTCTTCCCAATATCCCATCTAACCCTGCCCTCTGGCAGTGGGAAGCCATTGCCCCTTGTCCTGTCACGCCCTTGTCCAAAGTCAAGTCCCAGAGGAAGGACAGAGCCAGCCTTTGCCCGGGATTAGCAGGGAACAGGGATACTCACTGCAGGGGCAGCAGGGCTGGCACTGTCCCCACCCTCCATCCTCCTCTTCAGGCGAGGACCTGGCTGCTGCTGCCGCTCTGCCTCCTGCCCACGCGCAGACTGGGCATGATCCCGGCTCCAGGCACACCTGGGAAACCTGAATGTGCATCCCCCAGACATAAATACCCAAGGAGCCGCAGGTGTGCCCGGCGCAGAGCCCAGCGCTGCTGTCAGTGCCCGGCGCGGCCCTTCCGCTGCCCCTGCGGGACCACAATCGGGGGCTTTGTGCGGCCCCAGGGGCTGGATTCCCTCATTGAGGGATCGGATGGCAGGGCACAGGGGCAGCCTGCCCTTGGCAGCGGCTGCTTCCACGTTCCAGCAGCACTTTGTGCTCCGCCGAGCGCCGATGCCGCGCAGACACCCCTGTGCCACCTGCAGCCCTCGCTCAGAGCCCGGGCAGGGCCCTGGCACAATGTCACCCTCACTGCCACCCGTGTCCTGCCCTGGGAAACACCCCAGGGAACAGCATTCCCAGATCACCAGATCCTGCGCAGTCCAGGAGCCCTCGGGGTGTTTGAGACCTGCCAGCCAGACACAACCAAGGTGTGGAGGCAAGGAAAAGGAAAAGCTCAGAATTCCTTCAGGTGGCGTCTACCCAGGGAAAGTGCAGCTTTGGGACGTTCTCCTACCAAGCACGACCCAGGGCTGACCAAACTGGCTGAAGAGAGCCCACAACAAAGCTGGAGAGGGACTTTGGACAAGGGCCTGGAGCAACAGGACAGGGCAGAATGGCTTCCCACTGCCAGAGGGCAGGGTTAGATGGGATATTGGGAAGAAACTCTTCCCTGTGAGGGTGGGGAGGCCCTGGTACAGGTTGCCCAGAGAAGCTGTGGTTGCCCCTGGATCCCTGGAAGTGTCCAAGGCCAGGTTGGACGGGGCTTGGAGCAACCTGGACTAGTGGAAGGTGTCCCTGCCCAGGGCAGGGGGTGGGATTGTGTGATCTTCAGGATCCCTTCCAAACTGCATCCCTAATTCCCAGGATTCCCACTGCACAGCTGCACCAAAGCTCGTGGAGACAAGACCACAAAATGACACAGTACCAGGGAGAGCACATTTGAGAATTTAATGGGAATTCAAGTAGAGGATTAAAAACCGTTTGGAAGTTGACAAGAGTGTTCTGAAGCACAACTGACAGCGCCACCAGCACATTCCAGCATCCCTGAGTCCAGGCAACGGCTCCCTTGGCCAGAGAGAACCCTCGGCAGGGCAGAGCTGCCAGAGGGAGGCTGGACCTCTCCTGGCCTTTTCCTGACACTAAAAGCACCAGATACAGGGACTGAATCCAAAGACACATGGTTACATCAGACACGACCTGCAGTGAATCCATAATGTCCATTTCCACATTACCCAGATCCAGGGCAAGTTCTACCTGGGTGACTTCACACATCCTTCCAGCTGAGACAGGAGCAGGGAAGAGATCATCCACAGTTCCTGCCACAACTCCAAATTACAAACAAACACCCTTTCAAAGGATCAGCCAACACTGTGGGAACCCCAAGACCCTCTGGACTGCAGGGTTATTGCTGTACAAGCAAGGTGACAAGTTACCAATAAGGAAACGGCATCAGCACTGCCACAGCTGGACAGCAGGACAGGAAGGAAAACCAGTGCTAAAATTGAACTGTAGATACTGGAATCTATGGAATAGAAGCGTGTTATTTGCATATATAATTTTCAATTAATTCTGTAACGCAAAAGCTTTCACAGTGGGTTCAGCCAGCACAGAATCCCACCCCATGGCTGAGCCCTTTGTCACCCAACCCCACCTGGAGACCAAACTGAAATCATCCCTGAGCAAGCCAGCCCTCCTCACAGCCCCACCGCGCCCGGCCCCCGCGGAAGATCGGAACCTCGGGGTGGGAAGGAAGCACGTGCCACTGTCACACACAGGAGCCCCTGGGGAAAGCTGCCCTGGGCCCCACATCCATCCAGGGACTGAGCAGGACCTGGGGTCTGCAGCTAAAGCCAAAGCAAGCAGCTGTGTTGATGCTGAGGGAAGCACAGAACTCGGTACGGATTGATCTGGGTATTCCTGGGAAGCAGCAGGAGGGAAGGACAGTCCTGTAGGGCTACAGACTCTGCATGTAGGAAAATTATAGCTACTGTCGTCAGTAAGTACATTCCTCTCATCCTCCCTCCTGGGAAACAAGATATATTATCATAGACTCTGCTTAAATTTATAATTTAAATATATTCTGCTCTGTTTCTAGGCTCAGGGAGTGCCTGTGTGTATATGTGCTGTACACACACCTGACCCCGGACAGACACAGTGTGCAGCAGCCATGGGTTGGATTCGTGTGGGGTCGTCCCCACCTGTGTCACAGGTGCAATTTGCAGTGGTCAAATGAAGGAGACGAATTTGTTTCTGTGACCTGACATGGGGTTGTGCCCCGGAACACCCCCGAACAGGGCCCCAGGGGGAAAAAGAATCATCCCCAGGGCAAACACCAGCTCCACAAGTGTTTCCAAGCACAACCACAGTTCCTGCACATCCCCAGAGTCATTTCCCTGAAGGAACCAGGCTGAGCCACGGCCCAGCCTGGCCAGAACACAGCCCTTCTCCTCACATCAACCAGCTCCACTTCCCCAGCCCAGCCCAGAGGACTCCGTGCCGTGGAGCATCACTAACATTGGAGAGACGTGTTTATAATTAAAACCAGCCCCAAGCCCCCAGCCCTGGGGGCCACTGTAATGCCCCCTTTGTTCCAAAGTGCATTTCAGGAGTGAGATGTAAACAGAATCATACCGAGAGGACAGAGAGGTGAGAAGCTAAGGGTTGCTAACTCCGGGGAGTACCTAGTGAGCAGGTTACTGCCACAGGGTGAGCCCAGGGGCTGTCCCCGGGGCAGAGCTGCCCCGTTACTCGACCAGGGCCGGGAGCAGGTCGGCGATGCTGTTGACATAGTAGTCGGGCACGAGGCTGTGCCTGGCGGGGCAGTCGCTGTCCAGGTGTGCCTTGACCTCGTCGAGCGCGGTGACGCCGGTGAGGGTGAGCAGCGTGGTGAGCCCGCAGCTGTTCCCCATCAGGATGTCCGTGTCCAGCCGGTCCCCCACCATGATGGTGCGGGCGGGGTCCACCTGGAACTCGCTGGCCACGCAGTCGAACATGAAGCGGTTGGGCTTGCCCACGATGAAGGCCTCGCGCTGCGCCGCCGTCTCCACGGCCTTCACCAGGCAGCCCGTCCCTGGGGACAGCAGCAACAGTCAGGGCCAGCACGGGGCTCCCGGCACCCACACCCGCCCAGGGCTCTGGGGACACGACAGCTCGGCTGTACAGCCACAGGGACAGGCCAGGCCCTGCAAAGGCGGCACACGAAGCCTCTTGGGAGGCTGGAATTCTGTCCCACACTGAGTCAAAAAAGGAACCACTATTCCCTGAGTAAAGGTTCAGCATGGATTATCCCTCTTTCAGGGGTGCTGAGAGGCAAAGTCCAGGCTCTGGGACACCTGGGCTGCCACACAGCATCCCAGAATAGCTGGGGTTGGAAGGGACCTCTGGAGATCACCCAGTCCAACCCCCTGCCCAGGCAGGGTCACGTGGAGCAGGTGGGGTTGGAATGTCTCCAGAGAGGGAGACTCCACGACCCCCCTGGGCAGCTGTTCCAGTGCTCTGCCACCCTCCAGGGAAAGAAGCTCTTCCTCATGTTGAGGTGCAACTTCCTGTTTTATCAACCCAGCACTGAGGTGTGACGATTTAGAGCTGAGCGCGGAGTCCCGCAGAGCCGGGGGACCGGGACCACCCCCTCCGCCCTCCCGCCCCGCGCACCGGGGATGGCGGCGCCGCCCTCGAGCGGCAGCCGGTGGTCGCGGTTGGTGCCGACGAGCAGACAGTCGGGGTTCTGCAGCAGGTACCGCAGCGCCTGGCACAGCTTCGCGTAGCTGAAGTGCTCGTCGAAGCCCACGAGCACGGCGCGCACGGCGGGGTCGAGCGGCGCCTTCGCCCAGTCAGCGGGCGCGGGGCCGGGCAGGGCGGCGGGCCCGGTGCCCAGGTGCGGGATGCCCACGGCCTCCAGCTCGGCGGCGAGCGCGGGCCCGCCCAGCACGTAGGCGGCGGCGCCCGGCGGCAGCGCCTGGCGCAGGTAGCGGGCGGCGCAGAAGGCCGAGCCGAAGATGTGGCGGGGCTCGGCGGGCGGGAAGCCGAGGCGCCGCAGCTTCTCGGTGTAGGCCACGCGCGTCCGCCCGCTGTTGTTGGTCACGTAGCACAGCCGCTTGCCCGCCGCCGCCAGCCGGCGCAGCGCGTCGGCCGCGCCGCTGACGGCCGTGTCGCCCCGCCACAGGACGCCGTCGCAGTCGAAGAGCAGCGTGTCGGCGTTGGCGAGCACCGCCCGCGCCTCCTCGCCCTCGAACCGCCAGCAGCGCCGCGGCCCCGCCGTGCCCGCCATGACCGCCCGCCGCTCTCAGCGCCCCGCGCCGCCCATTGGCCGGGCCGCGCCCCGGGCCCGCCCCCCCGGCCTCCCCATTGGCAGCGCCGCGCACGGACCGCGTCCCCATTGGGCGGCGGTGCCGGTGGCCACGCCCCCCGCCGGAGCCGGTCCCCGCCGCCCCGCCCGCCCGTCCCAGCGTCCTACGCTCCCATTGGTCGCTCTCTCCGAGGGCCCGCCCCCCGCGCGCTGCCATTGGCCAGGGCCACGCGGTGCCGGCGGGCTCTGCGGGGCTCGTTAGGTAACGCGCTGGGTAACTCCGTGGTAACTCGTTGGTAACCCCCTGGTAATCCGGCAGTAGCTCGCCAGGCTCCGCTTCGCCGGCTCACGGCGCTCAGAGGTTGCCGTAGGGCGCGTGGGGACCGTGCCCTGGCACCGCCCACGGGCCCCGGAACCCCCGCGCCGCGGGACGCGTTCCCCGCCGAGCCCCGTCCCGTTGTTATGACGACACGGCCGTAAAGCCGCCATCTTGCGGCGCGTTGCGACACGGGGGCCGCGATGGCAACGGGCGCGGGGCCGGCGGCGCTTACGGCAGCACCGGCCGGGCCGGGTCGGGCCGCGGCCCCCGCGGGTCCCGCCGCGCTCCTCGGCCTCCCGCCGCCCTTCGCCGAGCAAGGTACCGCCCGCGCACCGCCCCCGCCCGCCGGCTGAGGGGCGGCCGGGCCGCGCCGGTGGTGCCAGCGGGGCTGGGGGCCCGTGTGTCCCCTCTGAGGCCGCTCCGCTCCCCTCCCACCTCCCGGGACGGGCAGAGCGGCGGCTGTCGGTGTGTCAGGCTGCCCAGGCGGGTGCGGGGTGTCCCTCTCCGGGGGTGATCTGGGGCGGCCCCGCCGGAGCGGGGGGACAGCAGTGACCCGCTGCGGTCCCGCCCGGCCCGGTGGCTCCGTGTGCCGGCGCCGCTGACGGAGCTTTCCCCCGCAGACGAGGATGACGTGCACAAGTGCGGGCGCTGCCAGGCCGAGTTCAGCTCCCTGCAGGAGTTCGTGCAGCACAAGCTGCAGAAGGGCTGCCAGCGCCCTCCCGACGCGCTCGCCGGGCTCCTCGGCCAGGAAGGACAAAAGGTGACAGCGGCTTCTCCGCGCCGGGGCTGCAGATAACTGGGATGCAGCGGCCTGGTGGGTTGGAGGGGGGCAACTGTGTTTAAAGAAAGCAAAACTTGCCTGCTGAGACGGTCCGTGTGTCAGCAGGGGGTTCCTGCTGTCGAGGAGTCCATCACTGTCGCCCACATTGTCGTGGAAGCCTCTTCCATAGCAGAGGAGATCAGCAGTGCCTCGACCATCGTAGGTGAGCTCTGAGGGGCTGCCTTTGCCCCCCAGGGGGTTTGGAACCTGATACCTCGTCCGTGTCCTCCTCTGGTGGGTTTGGGTTGTGGTTGGTCTGTGACACTTCTGTGGCACTGGAATTTGGGGCTGGGTGTTCCCTCAGAGCTGTGAGAGGCATCCCCAGGTCAGCTCTGCCATTCTCTGCTTTAGGATCAGGGAATACAAACCCAGGTTTGGGTTGGAAAGCTCAGCCAGCCCCACCCCTTGCCACAGGCAGGGACACCTACCACTAGCCCAGGTTGCCCCAAGCCCCGTCCAACCTGGCCTTGGACACTTCCAGGGATGGGGCAACCACAGCTTCTCTGGGCAACCTGTGCCAGGACCTCACCACCCTCACAGGGAACAACTTCCTTCTAACATCCAACCTAAATCTGACTTCTTTCAGCTTAATTAGTGCAAACAATTAACAGAAATTCGAGTTATAAGTTAATGCAAATTAGATTTAAAGCTCCATTCCGGGAGTGCCCACTTTAATACTTACACTGCAACAACTAGGGGGTTGCAAAGACTTGAGCTGCAGATTTAAAGTACCTTTTCCCCTTCTTTCTGCACGAAATGCTGGAACAGTGACTTGTTTGTTGGGTAAGGCTCTATCCTGTAAAGAACCCAAGTGTCTCCCCACCCTTTTCCCAGGCAGTGGGCACATCAAAGAAGTCATTGTAGCAGGAGACCATGTCTTTGAGAACGCAGACGGGCCCGTGGACGGGGAGGTGGGTGAGGAGCAGGGCAGCCCCGAGGAGCAGGAGCAGGACGTTCCCAGCGAGCTGGTCAAGGTGAAGCTGCAGGTGAACAAGGAGGGGCGATACGTGTGCGGGCTGTGCCAGAAGACATTCAAAACTGTGAGTATCATCTCTGCTCGTGGCACTTAAGTCAGCTAAGAAATCTCAAAAAGAATGAGAATGAGCTTCTCTACTGCCTGCTTCGCTCTTCCCACGGGGAAGTTCTGCTCTCACAAGGGGTGTTGTTGTTCTCCGTAGTTGAAATATAGAACCCTGAAACCGTTTGGAAAATGTCTTAAAGGAAATTCTTTCCCTAGGCCAGCATCCTCAAAGCTCACATGATCACTCACAGCAGCAGGAAGGACTATGAGTGTAAACTCTGTGGAACTTCCTTCAGGACAAAGGGGTCTCTGATCCGGCACCACCGGCGGCACACTGGTAAGGGCTCTCCAAATAAGAGTTCCTCCTTGCTGGAGCTCTGTGTGGTTATCCATTTGCCTTCCAGTGGAATTTCTTGTGCTTTCCACCTTCTGCTGAGCTGAGGCCATTGAGCTCCCCAGTATTTGGGGTGCTGGGAGGCAGTGGAAGGTTCTGGGATAAGCTCAGCCAGTGTGCTGTAGGAAGCTGAACGTGTTTTTCCAGCAGCCTGACACACAGAGCTGATCCTGTTGTTTTGATCCTTGTCATTTCCAGATGAAAGACCTTACAAATGCAAGAAATGTGGGAAAAGCTTCCGAGAATCAGGAGCTTTGACTCGGCACCTTAAATCTCTGACGCCTTGCACCGAAAAGATTCGCTTCAACATGACCAAAGAAATAGTTGTCAACAAAGAGGATTTGCCATCAGGTCAGTGATGCTGTCAGGACCTGCCTTGTGCCTGATAAAGCCAAACCCTCCTGCACTTGGAATATAAATTCCTTCTGGCACAGGTTGCCCAGAGAAGCTGTGGCTGCCCCATCCCTGGAAGTGTCCAAGGCCAGGTTGGATGGGGCTTGGAGTGACCTGGGCTAGTGGAAGGTGTCTCTGTCCATGGCAGGGGTGAAATGGGATGATCTTTAAGGTCCCTTCCAACACAAACCGTTCCCGGAATCTCATTTATGAAAAAAACCCCCAAATTCTACAGTATTCACTTTATATTCTTTATGCAGGAAAAAGCAATTTACAGAGCAAAACTATTACCCCGAAGTGCTTGTAGCCAGGAATGTGTGAGAATCTGGTTAACAAGCACTGGCTGTTGTGAGGCAGGTGTTTTGTGGGGCCCAGGGAGCTGAGGGGTGGCTGTTCCCCACGAGGTTCACTGTGCTGCTTCCCCTGCAGGCTCGTGCAGCTCCAACACAGACACGGTCTCATCGATACCGAGCGAGTCCATCGAGGCCTCCCCCGTCATCCACCTCGTGACAGATGCAAAGGGAAACGTTCTCCATGAAGTCCATGTCCAGATGCAGGAACTTCCTGTGGTGGATGGAAAACCCCTGGACCCAGACGTGAGTGTCGTCTCTCTTAAACACCCTTTGTGTGTGTTTTGTGCAAAGGATGTTTCACCTCATGAACAAAACCTTCGTGGGTGCTCAGAATAAATCTGAGTGTGGGAATTAAGTGGTTAATTAGGTACTTTTCCACGTGGGCAGGCACTGTTCTCTGTCCTGGGCCTTTCTGCTGCTGAGCTGAGCAGTGTGTAGATTACAGGGGTGTGGAGGATGAGGGGATGTTTTTATTGACCATTCCCTGCTACGAGACTGTGGTAGGAGCAAAGGCTTGTCATCCCTTGGCTTTTCAGAGTACAGATCCACCTCGTGTTCCTCCCCAGCCCTAGATATTCCCTGGTTGATCTTTCAACCATGTAGCACAGCATTAGACACCCCACAGAGTGTGACTGTCACAGCAGTGTCGCTGTAAGAAAGGGCAAACTGTGGATTTGCTGTGCCAAACTTCCTGTTTGTTCCTTCAGCAGTCGCATTCTGAGGAGCTGCCCTGTGAGGGGGAAGTGAACAGTGAGAATCTGCTGAGGCAGGCCATGAGGAATTCAGGAATTGTGATCGAGAGAGTTGCTGTGGAGGAGGTGCAGAAGCCGGATGAACCTGCTGGAGCTGCTCCAGAACTAGAAGTGGTGGAAGTAGAAGAGGAGCCGTGTGGAGAACAGTGTGTTAAATTAGAAGAAGCAGAGTCTGTATGTTTGTATTCCATAAATAGATTATTTTTTAATCTTCCTTGCCTGTATTTGGTTGTAGGCAGCACTGTTGGCCTCACTCCCCTGTGTTGTCCTCACGTGTCTCTCTGGTGCCTGGGGCTTTGTGTCCATCGTAGTTACACTTTTCACATGTGATTTAAGTGCAGTGTCTCTCAGCAACAGAGATCTCTTTCTTGTCAAAGCTGGAGTATTTAAATGGGAGTTTGGGTAGCAATCCTTACACTGCACACTAGTACAAGCAAAGTGAAGCTTCACCATTTTCTCTCCAACAGGCACCTGCAGAAAGAACCAACGGGTACAAACGGTACATTTGCCCTCACTGTAACGAAGCCTTCAGTGAAACTGCTGCCCTGGAGACACACACCAAAAGTCACTCAGGTAAAGCTGGGCTGGTGCAGTTGTCTGACACGTGCCATGGCTCACAGAGCCACTTCTGACCAGAATTCATGTATGAATGAGATAAACTTCAAGAAACACAAGGAACTGCTGCAGAGGGTCCAGTGGAGGCCACAAAGGTGATGAGGGGTCTGGAGCATTTCTCTGATGAGGTTCTGGGCCTGGTTAGTCTGGAGAAGAGAAGGCTGAGAGGGCATCCCATCAATCCATACAAGGATCTCCAAGGGGTGTCACAGGATGGTGCCAGACTCTGCTCAGTGGTGCCAGTGACAGGATGAGGAACAACGGCCATAAACTAAAACACAAGGAGTTTCACCTCCACATGAGGCAGAACTTTTCCCTGGAGGGTGGCAGAGCCTGGAACAGCTGCCCA